AAGGAGTTTGTAAGCCGCTCTGAGACTCCTTCAGGTAGTGAAGGGCGGGGTATAAATCCAAACTCCTCCTCTTCTATATATTTCTAAGTCATTACGCCATATATTTTCTTTAAGCTATTCTTTAAGCTATTATGCCATATACTCTTTTACATATACATGTATTTTGATCAAGCAATGTCCTTAATATCTGTAAAACTGCCCTTTATATTGTGTTTTTGTACCTATATTTTTAAGTGTTTCCCCCCATTCCCTTTTTTCATTCGGTATTCCCTTAACAATTCAAAATAATTTTTTAAAGAAATAATTATATAAGTTTGTTCAGGTCAAATATTCGTTGAGGTCAAAAATTTCACTCCATTCTTAAACCCATTGGTAAGCAAATTAATGGTTAAGTAAACAATGTAACAAGCTCACTGAAGAACTGAGTGAAATCGCCAAACTGAATGAATAGAATAGTTTATATAATGATTGTCAGTTTAAAATCTGTTCTGTGGACATCATGAATAGATTGCAATTTAGTAAATACAGGACAAGAATATTATTGCAAAAACCTACCTGAAGGTTGGCAACTCTACCAATCCTCCACCTGGCTTGCAAACCTGGCCCTCTTTCCCCAGAACCTCCCATTGGACTCTGGAAATCCCAAATGCCAGGGTTGCAGTGTGCCTGGCCTGAATTCTCTTAAGGGGAATCTGTGCCGCCTGTCTTCCAGGTTGCAGAGCCCCGATCCTGTCTGCGCCTCCTCGGGAGTAAGCTTCCCTGCATTGCATAACTTTGCTGCCTTTCTGGAGGGGAGGAGCCTTTGGAGCAGTGTTCCCTCTAAGCTGAGTTAGTGTGAGCTAGCTCACAGTTTTTTAGCCTCCGGCTCACACATTTTTGCCTTAGCTCAGGAAGGAGGGCTCCAGAGCAAACTAATTTATGCAGCAGCCAAATGACTCGCTCACAACTTTAATGCCAGCAGCTCACAAAGTAGAATCTGTGCTCACAAGACTCCACAGCTTAGAGGGAGCGCTGCTTTGGAGCCCCGCTTTGCCAGCGCCAAGGGGGCCCGTGGCTTGTTGCTATAGGCGACCCTTCTTCTTGGTGCGTAGCCACGGAGAGAAAAGGAAAGCGCCGCCCAGCAGCGCGCGAGTGATCGAACTCACTCCAGCGCTGCTGCCGCATAGCCCGGAACCAGAGGCACGCTTGAATGGCGGATCGCTCGGAAGAGCCAATGCGCAGGCGCTGAGGAAAAACTAAGGAGGAAGGCGATTGGATGCCTGGGTGACAGTATGCAAATGAGGCGGCCTGGGAGCGTGGATGGACGTCAGGTTTTGGGGGGAATAAAACCCCAACCTCTTGCAAAGAAGTCGCAATAAATGGCAGGCTTTTTTAAAAGGCTGGTTGCGGTCAAGGAAACGAACAGCCGGCAGGAAGGCGGTGGGCTGGATTTGGGTCGCTGTGACTTGAATAGCTAAGGCGGCGGGAGTGACTCCGGAAGCTGGAGACAAACGGCGGGACTGCGCTTCTCGAGGCATTTGCTGTTTACAGAAATGCGCTCGAAAGTGATTGGTCTCCCCCAGCCGTGAGGAGGATCGCGGGTGGCTTCTTCGTTAGCAGCGGGAAGCTCTAGGCAGTGGTAGCTGCGCTCTTCTGTCCGCCCGGCAAAAAGCTCTAGGGTCACCCTAGCGGCTTTCTTGCGACTGGGGACAGCGAGAGCCGCTACTCCACCCTAGATGCGTCCTTGCGCTCCTGCCTTCTTCCGGGAAGGTCAGTGGGAGAAAGCCCGATCGGAGCGGCTGGTTTTGTTTTCTGCGGTTGTGTAAAAATAATCTGGACGTGTGGTGCACACTGCACACTGGACTCTGGCTTCTGGCATTTACATGCTGATTTGCTGCCTTCTACTGATCTTGCCAGTACGGTTGCCAACCTCCAGGTGGTGTAGAAACAACAGCGAGAGCAGGGGAAGTATGCAGCCAGTAACAAAAAAACAACCCTGGTGTTGTATTATGAAAATATATTTAGGTTTCAGTTTCACATAACAGCTTTTTCAGAGTGTGCTGCTGTGTGAATGGCACTTGTTTCCATATCACTAGAAAGAGAGGAAAACAGTAAAAAGTAAAATTGCCAATTTGTATTAATACTTATTCTTGCATAAAAACTCTACCGTAATATACTAACCCGTGAGTTAACACATAACATTCTTACTGCTTCACTGAGACAAATTCTTTCAGTGTTCATGTTATCCAAACTAGTTACTCCCTTTACTGTCTTCTGCTTCTTCTTCCAGTTCTGCTGCTGCTGCGTCATCAGAAGTTTGCAGCTTACAGATACACACCTGAACAGCATACTCAAGATTGCAACAGCACAGACATTTTGATGCAATAATTCAGAACAAGAGGTGTTAGTTATCAGACACTGTTAAATAAGCAAAAAAATTTTTTAATGTTTTAAGCATGTTTTTATTTTAAGTATAAAAAACCCTTTGTGTTTGTGTCCTTTATAAAGCTTATATCTCTGCTACCTAGCATTACATTTTATGACACACATGGCCCAACAAGGTCTCATTTATGTCAGATCCAGCCCTCAAAACAAATGAGTTCGACACCCCTGATTTAAAGAAAACAACTTAAATCTAGCGCCGAATTTAGTCTGTGAGGAGAGAGTGAGTTTAACTGGAATATCCACTTAGCTTCTTCCTGCAAAAGTATCTGATGTAGGTCTCTGCTTTTGTTTGCTACAAAAAAAACCCCGTGTAGTGAAAATCATCACACCTATTTTTGTTGGAGACAAAGTGCTCAGTGCCCCCAGTCTCCAGGTATTTCCTAACTGGGAGCTGGCAACCTTGATCCAGTTCCAATTCCAGCTCTGCAGATGCATCTCGGCTCTGAGTGGCCCTTTTCAGTGGCTGCCCCCCACCCACTTTTTCCCTGTAAGTAGCATAAGGACATAAGAGAAGCCGTGTTGGATCAGGCCAATGGTCCATCCAGTCCAACACTCTGTGTCACACAGTGGCCAAAATCCAGGTCTCATTAGGAGGTCCACCAGCGGGGCAAATACCAGTGCCATCAGGAGGTCCAGCAGTGGGGCCAGGACATTAGAAGCCCTCCCACTGTTGACCCCCCCCCCAAGCACTAAGAAAACAGAGCATCACTGCCCCAGACATAAGAGAAGCCGTGTTGGATCAGGCCAATGGCCCATCCTTGAGATTTTATTCCAATGTGTCTGAAGAAGCGTGCTTTGCACAGGAAAGCTTAAAGCTATGAATCAAACTCTGTGGGTCTTAAAGGTGCCTCTGGTCCCCAACTTTGTTCTGCTGCTTCAGACCAACAGGGCTGCCCACCTGAAGTGTACTGATATCAGTCTTTTTTTCATATATATACTTAAAAGGGCATTTAATATGCCAGGCCTCATTTTCTGCTCTCAGCCGCCCTTTCCGTGCATCAAATTTCCTGCATCACTTTGTCTCAGCCTGGCCAGGCGAATAAAAAAACACACATTGCTTCAGTGGCCGCAGTTGCCCCTGCAGTGTTGGTTTTAGTCTCTGGTGGGTAGCTGTGTTGAACTGAAGCAGCAGAACACAGTTTGAGTCCAGTGGCACCTTTGAGACCAACAAAGTTTTATTCTGGGAATAAGCTTTTGTGTGCAGGCACACCTTTTCATACTTCTCTCAGTCCTCTGAATGCATTTTTGATGGTATTTTTGAATTGTTCCCTCCTTTCCCCTCCCACTGGGCTACACATGAACCTGCCTTATACTGATCCATCAAGGCTGGTATTGTCTATTCTGACCAGCAGTGGCTCTCCAGGGTCTCAGGCAGAGGTCTTTCCCATTACCTACTACCTAATCCTTTCTACACTGGAGATGCCGGGGATTGAACCTGGGACCTTCTGCATGCCACCACTGGGCCACAGCTCCTCCCTTTCCTCTGGAAGTGTGTTGGCCTCCTGCAGCACCCCTTTTGTGGGTCACTCCACCTTCTGCAGCAGCCCACCACCCTGTGTCCAAATTCCAACGGTGCTCAAAAAGTTGGGGACCTTTGCTTGTAACTGAACAAAAAACCAGGTTCCTAAGCCAGCCTCCACTCCTAAGAAACCATCCATCAAAAATGTAGCTGATGCTAGGCTCGTAGAGAGTTTAGCATTCTCTGTTGCAGCTTATCGTGTTTCGTTCCAAGCATCTCGGTACCAAGCTTTACTTCCTTTGAGACACGACAAACCTCATTCAAGAGTTAACAGGGTCGGCAGCCCCCACTGGATGACTTAAAACCATGGGCAATTTAATCGCTGGAAACTCGAGAAAAATCCAAGAAGTGAAATAACAGCATCTGCTTTTTTGCAGGCAAAATGCTCACATTGGAGGAGGAGGAGGAGGACTGGATTTATACCCTGCCCATCACTACCCAAGGGAGTCTCAGAGTGGCTTACAAACTCCTTTCCCTTCCCCTCTCCACAACAGACACCCTTGTGAGGCAGGTGGGGCTCAGAGAGCTCTGAGAGAAACTGCTCTTTTTCAAGGACAGCTCTTATCAGAACTATGGCTTGCCCAAGGTCATCCAGCCAGGTGCAAGTGGAGGAGTGGGGAATCAAACCTGGTTCTCCCAGATTAGAGTCTGCACACTTACCACTACACCAAAATACAACAAACATTGTTTGTTGCTAAAGCACTGCATTGTGTAGGATGTTCCTGAAACTGCCTGAGTGGATTTGGGGTCGATGCTAACAGATTCTTAGATAAACGTAACAGTTCACATTTATTATTATTTTCTCTTCTGAAAGGCAACACGATTCACATTTCTCAGACAAGACACAAGAGACGGAAATGATATACAAATCTTTTTATTATTTATAGTGTTTGTTCATATCCATCTTATATTACAAAGCAGATCATTTATTTCATTGTTTTTTAAAAAAACTAGCCGGAAATGAGACAGGAATTCCCCTTATGTAAACTCATTTCCTTTGCTTGCTTCGTCACTGAAGTGCCTTTCAGCAGAACAAGGCATTAAAAAGATTGCTTCCTGTAAGAACGTCTCCTAATCTTTAGCCAAGGGCTCTCTGGCCTTGTAGTAAATTCATACAATCGTTTCTAGAACTCTTGCACATAGGGGACAGGGTGTGTATAGGGGAACTTGCCATCTCAAAAAAAGGATAGACAGATCTGGAATCATGCAGTATGAGGCATACAGCTCTCCTGTATCAACGCACACTGTTGTGAGCTTGGTGAAGGGACTTATGAAAGATAAAACATCTGAATGGGCCCAAGGCACAAGAGGCTTTTAGGGTGATAAAACCGAAAGATAAAACTTCCCCGAGAATGCAAAGTACGGTTGCATCTAAAAAAGATGGCATTTTTTTTTAAAGCGCTTAGTGTGATATTTTTGGAAAGTTAAGAAATAGAGTATTCCTAGGCTTCTAAAATATTTATTGCTGGCTTCTTCGTGTTTTGATAAGGTTCATTTGAATGCTTCTCTTTCAGCTGTCCGTCATACTTAAAAATAACAACTCTTCCAAGATGTGCCGCGTGACCTATTAAAAAGTTTCCATGGGTAAATTCATTAGAGTTCAAGGCACATCTCAGACGTCCGCCACGGAGCTGCCGTTAAAGAAGTGGGCCCAGTCGTGCAGGCAGCCGAACCTGTTGGCGGGCTCATTTCCCAGAGGGAGTCGGGAGTCCAAAACGCGGCTCGGGCTTCCGTTGGGGTTCATAGCTCCAGCTCCTGCAGATCTCCCCAGCTGGGCCCCACTTTGACTTTCACCGAGAGTTTTACCGAGAGCTTCACGGCGTTTTCCATTTCGTGCTTAACGATTTGCACCACCTACAAAACGACAATGTTTGAAGAACTGGGGTCAGGACAGAGCACTGAAGCGTGGATCGGAGACCTTTGCTCTGCGTGGGCTTCACTCTGGGCACTGCAGAGGCAGTTCTCTGCCATGAAGAAGGAGATTGGATTTATACCCCGCCCTTCACTCGGAGTCTCAGAGCGGCTTACAAACTCCTTTCCCTTCCCCTTCCCGCAACAAGGTAGGTGGGGCTGAGGATGCTCTTTCGAGGACTGCTCTGAGAGAACTTGTGTCTGACCCAAGGTCACCCAGCGGGCTGCATGTGGAGGAGGAGTGGGGAATCAAACCCGGTTCTCCCAGATTAGAGTCTGCCACTCTTAACCACCACACTAAACTGGCTCTCCACTGGCTTCCTGCTAGGACAAAGTTCCCCAACGTGTCTCCAAGTGTTTTTGGTAAGTGGCTTGGGCCAGTGTCGCAGAAGCTGCCTCCTTAGCATTTGTTTCAGTCTCTCTCTCCTCCTTTACGGTGTTGTTTTCTAAAATCACCCTTATCGGGTTTCCTGGGTTTGTGTGGATCTCTGCTTCCTGCAGTGACCATTTTGTGGCTGGCTCCGCCTCCCACGGTGGCCATTTTGTGGCTGTGCCCACAGGCTCACAAAGGTTGGGGATCCCTGATCTACTAGAACTTGTGACTGACCCAAGGTCACCCAGTGGGCTGCATGTGGAGGAGGAGTGGGGAATCAAACCCGGTTCTCCCAGATTAGAGTCCGCCACTCTTAACCACTACACCAAACTGGCTTTCCACTGGCTTCCTGCTAGGACAAAGATCCCCAACGTGTCTCCAAGTGTTTTTAGTAAGTGGCTTGGGCCAGGTGGGTTTTTTGCCCAGCAGTGCTTCTGATTGGTCGCTGGGGATTTGAGTGGCCGGGCTTTGACAGCAGCTGGCACCATGGCAGAAGGCTCTTAACTGTGTGGCTGAAGGTAAGCTGTGGCAGCCCTCTTGTGGCTGGCTCCGCCTTCTGTGGCAAATTCCACAGGATTCCAAAGGTGCCCGCAGGCTCACACAGGCTGGTGACCTGCATTCCCTCTAAGCTGAGTTCGTGTGAGCTGGCTCACAATGTTTTTAGCCTCTGGCTCACGCATTTTTGTCTTAGCTCAGGAAGGATGGCTCCAAGGCAAACTAATTCATGCAGTAGCCAGATTGCTCGCTCACAACTTTAATGCCAGTAGCTCACAAAGTGGAATTTTTACTCACAAGACTTCACAGCTTAGAGGGAGCGTTGCTGGGGACCCTGATGATAAAACGTGAAGTGCCGTGAAATGATGCAAAGAGAAGTGCCTAGTGTGGGAGGAAGTGAGCGCCGTAGTGCAGGACTGACTCCGCAGGACCCGGAGGGAACTATGCACAGAGCGACAGGATTCAAGCCCTAGAGCCACATGGATCAGCTCCCCTGAGCGGACGCACTGAATTTTCTAGAGACTATGGATTTGGGAAGGCCCGGGAAGTCATTGCCATGGAAGAGTCATTAAAATATGCCGGGAACTGAAAAGCACCCAAGTCATTATAAGCGATATGTGAAAACATCACACACCGTTCTGGGAACAAAAACCCAACACGAAGATTCAGGCACAATTCGTTTGGCTGCCCACTTTCAGCAAAGGGGGCTTCGCATCCCTACAAAGAAGTGTCTCACGGCATGTTGACAGACAGAGAAGGCCAAGTCACGCTTCGCGATGCAGAACAGGCTGCATCAGGCAGAGGCTCATCACATCACGAGCGTCAGGTCGTTGGTCTACCTTCTCGGACTGGTGGCGGCTCTCCAGGGTCTCTCACAGAGAAAAGCCACTGTCAACATCTGTCATGAAGTACTCTCTACCATTTTCCTTCTCACCTTGACACACAGAGCACTCCATCTTTCTGTGTTATACCTCTGAGGATGCCAGTCACAGCTGCTGGCGAGAACGTCGGGGACTACAATGCCAAGACCACGGCCGTGCAACCCGGAAAATCTACAAACAACTAAAAATAATATTGTTTCCGCAGAAGCTGCCTCCATAGCATTTGTTTTAGTCTCTCTCTCCTCCTTTACGGTGTTGTTTTCTAAAATCACCCTTATCGGGTTTCCTGGGTTTGTGTGGATCTCTGCTTCCTGCAGTGACCATTTTGTGGCTGGCTCCGCCTCCCACGGTGGCCATTTTGTGGCTGTGCCCACAGGCTCACAAAGGTTGGGGATCCCTGATCTACTACCTGAGATCCTGTAACGAGAGATGCCAGGGATTGAACGGGGGCACCACTGAGCCATAGTATATCCCTTAGGCACACAGGGAGACGGCGTGAGTTTTAATGAGAGATGCCAGGGATTGCGAAGCCATGCGAAGCACATGGTCTACCACTGAGCCATAGTATATCCCTTAGGCACACAGGGAGACGGCGTGAGTCATCAGCTCGCCCTTGTATGCTTATGGACAGGCGTATTTCTACAGTGGTCACTGTGGCTAGCGTTGCTGAGCGTACGGCACCAACCCGATAGCCACACAGCCATACATTTCCAGCAGCAGTGAACCTCCTTGCCTGAATCACGCTGTCCTCTGCGACCTCATAGAGCAGTTCATCGTGAAGCTGGAGGATGAAGACTCCCCCGTGGCTGGGATACAGTATCGGCCTCCTTTCGGCCCGTCCCCGTTTTCCTAGACAGAATAGAGCCCAAAGAAAGACTTTAAAAAAACCCCAAACACACACAGAATGTTTATGGTAAAGCTCTACAGGCATAGAGGAATGCAAAGAAACAGACTGTTTAGTTGCGTGAATAATGAGTGGTGGGACGTCGTGCCGTCAAGTCATAGCTGACCGGCGATGACCCTGTAGGGCTTCTTGAGGCAAGAGACGTCCAGAGGTGGTTTGCCCTTGCCTGCCTCTGCACAGACCCGGGACTTCCTTGGTGGTCTCCCATTCAATTACTAGCCAGGGCTGACCCTGCTTAGCTTCTGAAACCTGATATCCAGGTCAGGTTGTGACTAATACTGCACCATAAAAGGAATACGATTTCGTAGATTGATGTCCTAGTTTGGTACCATAAACTCATAGGGAAAAGCGTACCTGTCCGTTTCTTCTGGACGGAGCTCTCCAGATGCCCGTACGATTTTACAGCTGAAGGTAAAGCTTCCAGCTGGCCCTGGATGTTGACGGTGGCTCTTTTGACGATATCGGCTGCGGAGCCCTGGACGGCAGTGTTCACCGCCTGCCGCTCTGCCTGGGAATCAGGAAAACTGGGTGAGAGGAACAGGCAGTGCTTCAAAGGTGTAGTAAATACAAAATAAATTGCTGAAAAAGTTCACAAAAATATAAAGATGTCTGGGTGAGAGGAACAGGCAGTGCTTCAAAGGTGGCCAGGAGGAACTCTGATGCCAACAAGACAACAACACTGGCTCCTTAAGTACGGCTTTTTGTAGCAGGAGCTCCTTTGCATATTTGGCAACACACCCCTAATGTAGTCAATCCTCCAAGAACTTACAGAACTTTTCTTACAGGGGCTACTGTCAGCTCTTGGAGGATTGGCTACATTAGGGGTGTGTCACCTGATATGCAAAGGAGTTCCTGCTACAAAAAGAGTCCTGAGTACCTATGCTTCTCTGGGTTCCAGCAATCACAAATGATGGGCACAAGGGCCCCCTGTCAGCTATGCTGCCATGGTTGGTGGGGGAAGGGAGTTGGCAGAGTGATCATTTTATTGTCCTGGAATGTTATCTTGCATTTTCTCACTACGCCTCATCTGGCAGTCTGACCTTGATGCTTTGTACTTTCACCCCCCTGGGAACTTGTAGTCGTTACTTTGAGCGCGCAAGGCTTGCACCTCTGATTGGCTCGCTCCCATCAGAGGGTCTCACTTCAAACGCGGTATATCTTCCCCCTTCCCGCCTGTGGGGTTCGCCTTTATGCAGAAACTGTACGCACAGATGACCTGCTTCTACTGAACTCAACAAACTTGACCCCTCTGGAAGGAACGTTGTCAAGCCTGTTTGTTGTGGGACTTTGACATCCCCGTCCTGGAAGCGAGCCTTTCAGAACAGGGAGATCATTCCATCTTAGAGGCCGCGGCCCTTTCTGAGCAGCATGTGCAAAGGACAACCTGGGGGCGGAGAGTGTGGGGGAAGAGGGGGCTCCGCAATGACTCCACCCGGCTTCTGCTACACAAGACCAGTGACTGGGGCAAGCTGGGAGAGCACAGCAGGGCGCAGAAGCCTAAAGCGGGGAGTCCCCAACCTTTTGAAGCCTGCGGGCACCTTTAAAATTCTGACACGGCATGGTGGGCACAGGTCCGAGTGGCTGCTGCAAAAGGGATGCACAAGGGGTAGGGTTGCCACCAGTGTTCCCTCTAAGCTGAGTCAGTGTGAGCTAGCTCACAGTTTCTTAGCCTCCGGCTCACACATTTTTGTCTTAGCGCCTCTGACATCCCTGTCCTGGAAGCGAGCCTTTCAGAACAGAGAGATCATTCCTTCTTAGAGGCAAAGGACAACCTGGGGGCGCAGAGTGTGGGGGAAGAGGGGGCTCCGCAACGACTCCACCCGGCTTCTGCTACACAAGACCAGTGACTGGGGCAAGCTGGGAGAGCACAGCAGGGCGCAGAAGCCTAAAGCGGGGAGTCCCCAACCTTTTGAAGCCTGCGGGCACCTTTAAAATTCTGACACGGCATGGTGGGCACAGGTCCGAGTGGCTGCTGCAAAAGGGATGCACAAGGGGTAGGGTTGCCACCAGTGTTCCCTCTAAGCTGAGTCAGTGTGAGCTAGCTCACAGTTTCTTAGCCTCCGGCTCACACATTTTTGTCTTAGCTCAGGAAGGATGGCTCCAGAGAAAACTAATTTATATAGTAGCCAAATCACTCGCTCACAACTTAAATGCCAGTAGCTCAGAAAGTACAAGATTCCAGAGCTTAAAGGGAACATTGCCACCCTCCAGGAGGTCCGACAAAATGTTATGCTTTATACTTCTTTTTATATTTTTCAGTATTGTTGTCTAAATATTGGTATCAACTGACAAGGTGCTGTCTGAATGTAAACCTGCACTCAATGTATTGTTTGGGTGAAACATATTTTTGATAATATTTGATGCCAATATCGAGACAACAATATTGAAAAATATAAAAAGAAAAAGAATAAAGCATAAAATTGTTTTACCATAAACATATATTTCTTGTACACAGTAATATATATTTTGTATTTCTTCCTAACACTGTGACCCTCAGTTTTTGTATTTGCC